AAGTGAGGAGATAGAGGAACATTGGCTATCTGTTTTCCTTAGGATTGGAACTATAAAAAGAGATGTTGGAATCTAGCTATCCTGATTTTTCTCCCAGAAGTGCATTGAGGTCTTCTCTGTAGAGCTAGGTAGGAGCCAGTGAAATGTATGTTTTTGGAGTCTGAGAGGAGTAACAAGTGAAGTTGAAGTAGGGATATCTGTTTGGGGTTTTTCTTTTTGTTTCATTCAATATATGAATGATTGGGATACCAAAGAGATGTGGAGAAGAGAGTGGTTTGTCTTCATCCTCGACTTATGAGCCAAAACAAACCAGCCCCAATGGTTAGGGCTGAAACACAGCTCACTGGATAATTCACTCCATCCTTTCAGCCCACCCTAACTGTTTATTTAGTGTCACCCTGCATTACCATCACCAGCACTTTCCTCTGAACAGGAGGAGCTGCAGGCTTTCACCTCCTAAAAGGAAATTCTTCTTAGCTTAGACACATGTGGCATTCAGGATGTACATTAGTTAAGAAAAAAGTGGATTGCAAATTCAGTGGAAGATAAGCACTCTTGGAGAATTTCAGTTTGTAAACCTGCCTTAGGGCGGTATTTAGGAAGAAAGGGGCTAGAGTCTTCAACTCCTAAGAACTGATTCTTGGGACACCCTAGTCCCACTTTCCTGAGGTGGGTCGGTCCTTGGGCTCCAAGCTGGCAGTTGGTGGGTCCCTGGTTGAGCCTTTTCAGAACATAGATGGATGATGCCAGCGCTTTCTTTGCTGGTGGCTGACCCACCTTCTTGTGTCTCCCCTGTGGCACCCCCTCCTCTTGGCCTGCATCTCTAGTCTTTGTGAGAGGGTCCCTGGTCGCAAGCCCTTAGACCCTGGCCTGGACTTGACGGTCTTTGGGCTCTGCACTGTCTCTAGAAGCTTTGTCTGTGAAACCTCGTGGCAACCGGGTCCCTGCCTCAAAGACACAGGCACCCAGAACTGAGAGGAGTGACGGAAGGAGGAGAGAGACGGGGGAGGGAGAGGGAGAGAAAGAAGGAGAAGGAAAAAGAGGAAGGAGAGGGAAGGAGGAAGAGCGGGGAAGGTTAGAGGAGAAAGGAGGGAGTAAGTGCAGAAGAAAGGGAGATTTAGAGAATGAAAGTGTAAGAAACCGATTCGCAGATGAAACGAGTACCCTCGTTGAGCTGCAGAGGAGAGAATGAGACAACCACACAAAGAGCGCCGACACCTCCCGTCGCGTGCTCCCTTTAGGGGTCGAGGCTCCAGGTGGAGAGGGGAGGCGAGAAGCGGGGCGAAAGGGCCAAATGCGGGAACGAGCAGACAGCGCCCCGGCGGTGTGCAGTGCTCGTGTCTGTCCCCGACGTCGGGGCGAAGCAGGGCTGGCGTTCTCTGGAGCAGCGTGCCCGGTGGGGCTTGCGGGGCGCAGCTGCCTCTGTTTGTCCAGGTGTGGGAGGGGGCGGCGGTCCCGGCCTCCTGGGCCCGCCCAGCTTTTCTGCGCCCAGGAAGCTGGGCCTTAGCTCCTGCGCTTCCCGCTTCCAGGAGAAACCCCCTTCCCCGCTCCTCCTCACATACATAAATACATTAGGGAGCAGACAGATCCTCATTGTTCAGAACGGAGCCGAGCGGGCCGGCCGCGGCCGGGAGGCAGGGGGAGGCCGGGCCGGGGATCCGGTGTCACGTTGCAGATCGCCACTAAAGATAACGAAACGTGATCTATTTTTCAGAACAGCAAGTGGATGGGAAAGAACCTTGACAACACAAAACTCATTTACTAATGGGCCGGTTTTGGATTTCTCTTCTCTGGATCTGCAAATCGCCCTGCCTGAGCCCGGGCTTACTCAGCCTGGTGGGGGCGGCAGCCCGCACAAGGCAGGTGGGGAGCACCCGAACGGGCGGGCGGGGGTCGGGACCCGAGGCACCCGGAGGTGCACGTAGCTACTTCACCTAGGACTTGGGGAACCTGCACACTGCCCCAGAGTACTGGCACTAATTTATTGGAGAATCACCTCACGATTCCCTTCCCTTGCAGGTATCTGTAGGTAAAGCAGACGGCGAAAGCAGTCCAAGAAAGTGGGATATTGCTCAAGCCAGAAATAAGGGGCGCGACGAGAGTAGTTTAAAGCCCCAGCAGCTCCTAATGATTTCGCCCTGGCCGCTGGGCCCGCTGTTGGGTCCGCCAGGTCCACTCAGCCAAGACCTGCAAAACAGAGGCGCCAGGAGCTGAAAGCCGAGCGGGGCGCCCTGTCCGCCGTGCTGTCCTCGGGAGCCTCGACGTGCTAGGACAGCGGCCAGCTGCCTAGGCTGCTAGGTCCCTTTAAATCTCCCACGCATCTCTGTTCTGTTTTTCACGCGATTTGCATTGACAGTAAAGGTTTTATGTTACAGAACCACTCAAAGCTTTCTGTGTGCGATTTAAAATGGATCATTTGGTTTATGTGGTTTGTAAATTCATGTCATTTTACCTCTTTTAGTGGTTTTCGGCAAAAGGTTCCATTTTGGGAAACCTTATATATCCGAGCCAATAATTAACATTTATAACAATTGGTTCCCTTAACCGAGAGATCAAAATAGCAGGTAGGTTCTTGGTACAAAGCGCATAGCACTTTTCCTTTCTTGGATTAAACAAGAGTCAAAAGGGAAAAGGCTGGTAAGTGGAGGACCCGGCCTGCAAGGATAGGTACCTCTCTCACGTACCCCGGTGCCCGAAACCACAGCACCCAGGACGGCTGTCTTCCTAGTTGTCGCCAACCTGTACTGCGTCTTGGTTTCTTTGGGAAAGAGATGAAAAGAAGGGTATTGAGAGATCTGGAGGAAGCTAGGGAAAAGGTGGTCTGATTGGTGTCTAATTGCCGCCTCTCTGCTCTCTGTCATCCTCTGTAAATTTATCCTTGCCCCTATTTGTTCAAGCTATGCTTCATTTCCTCATACAAAACTGTTCATTACAAAGTACACCCCATACTTAACATACCGTTTGTCTTTTAAGAGATACAGTTGTGCTTACAGACCTTCTCTGCCCATTTTAATTGTGCACACTTGCTCCATACTTTAGGGTACTGATGTGCAGAGGCAGGGTTCAGCCTCCATTCTAGTCCTCACACAGCTGCCATGTCAATAAGGACTGTTCCAAGCAGTGACATTCCTCTTGGCAGGACACTGCAGCTCCTTAAGACTTCGTCTGAAACGTCATGAGCACTAAAATAAGATGGTGAGGGAAAATTACCAGACACATGGCCTTGGCCTCAGCGGTGCCAAGCTTCTAGTTTAGAAAAGTAAGTCACTGGGCACACCATGTGGCAGGGGCTCTTTTGAAATCAGATGCACCCATTAAATGCATTTTAAAAAATAAGCCTAAATGAAAAGAAATAGAAACATCTTTTCCCAAGGGCTAATTGCATGGGATGCAGCTTCAGGGATGCAGAAAGCATTGTGTGGGAGCTCCGTGGAGAAGCAGCTTCCTGTCTACTTGAAATCTCCCTGAGGTGGGAATCCTTTATGAGTTTAAAATGTTCCTTGCAGGGGGCACTGGACTGGGTGCATCATTTTAAAACCATATAAATAATACAAGGGGAAACTTGCATGCCTTTCTTCTCCCACTTACATCTCAATATGCAGAAAGATCTGTGGTGCTGGGCTTTTTGGCTGATGGAATCAAAACATATTTAAAGAGGATAAGCAAGTTTAAAGAGCCCAGAGTTTGTTCTTCACCATTGACTAAGAGGGTGCACTGAAATCAAAAGCATTTTTGAAGTGTACTTAAAATTCTGTTTTGAACTTATCTAATCAGAGATAAGTATAGTCATAAAGTCACACTCCCTCCACCATTTGGCTTTCCTTATCTCCACACATTGTTCTTATCTCCTGCCAGCCTGAGCTACTGACAATAGATTATCTTTGTTTAGAGAAGCTAATTGTTTTCAAAATCTTTTTAATAATTGCTTTGGAGCAAGGTGTGCAAATGAGGCTTACGATAATTACAGCTTCATCTGTTTGTGCAGTTTTACTAAGCATTCTCCACACATAAACAAAACAGCAGATGATGGGACTTAAATTGCAGGACATCTCTCATTCTCTGGCAGGAAAACAGGCCAGCACTGCAAACACACACACTCACACGCTCCCACCGCCTCTTCTTCTGGGAGCCCCTGTCCTCCTAGCTTTCAGGGCAGTGTCGCTCTCAGAGTAGGGCAAGGATTATGTTACAACCCGATGGTTATTGGAGCACGGCACAGTTTTATTTAATTTACACCCCATCCAGCACCTCTGGTACGAGATTCCCACAGCTTTTTAGCTAATGGCAAATAAAGCTCTCGGCATTCCTCAGTAGCAAAGGCAGCACCAGAAAACGGAACCGTGCAGACAGGGAAGCAGAATCCGAGAGACCGCGGACGTAAGCGTCCTTCTGGGTTGCTCTCGGCTCAGCAGCTCTGAAAAGCGTTGCGCCTGATATCTTTGAGAACTCGGAACGCTGTGCAGCTCGAGCACTTGTGTCCTTTGGAGGGTGCCGGAGCTTGGGAAGGGGAGGGAGCAGGAAATTAGATTTGGCTCCTAAAGTGAAGCCAACAGGAGAGAAACAACTTTTCAAGTGCCTGCAGCCGGAGCCCTGTTCTGCTCTTGTATTATTTATCGCATTCCATAAGCTATTCATCAATTCATTATTTATTCATTGCAACATTAAGGTAATTAAATATGAGCTCACCAGGAAGGGCAAGTCTGAAAGGGACAGGGACAGGAGTACAAGGGAAATTAGAACTTTTGGAGTCTTTGATTTGAGCAAAGATGCACGCGGCTCCCCTTAGGTGACATCGGAGAGAGGACCTGACTAGTAGGGTCCTGACTCGCGCCTGCTCCTCCCTCCCCCGGCCCGCGGCTCCCTCCTCCCGACCCCACCTAGGTTCCAGCCTCCCCAGGTCCCTCTCCTCCCACCACTGCCCCCGGCTCGGCCGCCTCTCCCTCCCAGCGCTGGGCGGCGCGGCCTTGCTGCTCCACCGGGCGGCGCGCGGGCTGGCCAGCCTCGGATAGGCGCCGCCCGCAGCCAATCAGCGCGCCGGGGGCGCTGCGCGCTTTAAGGCCGCTGCGGGGAGAACAGAAACCAAGTTCCCCGGCAACGAGCTGCATCCACCCGGCTGCAGGCCGGAGCCAGCGAGGAGGGTGCAGGCGCTCAGAGCCCAGCGGGTCCCTACTACACCTTCAGGAGGACTTCCCCGTTGGCCGCTGCCGCCAAGTTCCGACTCGCTTTTCGGCCTACACAAAGCCTAGGGAGGTGGTGAGGGGCAGCCGCGCCCCCCTCCCCGCGGCCGCCACCCCCAGCTTTCGGCCCTGCTCCCCAACGCTTGCGCCCGGGCGTCGCGCCCCGGCAGGCTCAGGCCATGTCGATGCTGCCGTCGTTCGGTTTCACGCAGGAGCAAGTAGCATGCGTATGCGAGGTCCTGCAGCAGGGCGGGAACCTGGAGCGCTTGGGCAGGTTCCTCTGGTCGCTGCCCGCCTGCGACCACCTGCACAAGAACGAGAGCGTGCTCAAGGCCAAGGCGGTGGTCGCCTTCCATCGCGGCAACTTCCGCGAGCTCTACAAGATCCTGGAGAGCCACCAGTTTTCGCCCCACAACCATCCCAAGCTGCAGCAGCTGTGGCTGAAAGCGCACTACGTGGAAGCCGAGAAGCTCCGCGGGCGACCCCTGGGCGCCGTGGGCAAATATCGGGTGCGCCGAAAATTCCCGCTGCCGCGAACCATTTGGGACGGCGAGGAGACCAGCTACTGCTTCAAGGAGAAGTCGCGGGGTGTGCTGCGGGAGTGGTACGCGCACAACCCCTACCCCTCGCCGCGGGAGAAGCGGGAGCTGGCCGAGGCTACCGGCCTCACCACGACCCAGGTCAGCAACTGGTTTAAGAACCGGAGGCAAAGAGACCGGGCCGCCGAGGCCAAGGAAAGGTACGCGGCGCGCTTCCCGAGGCTCGGGCGACCCCGGGAAGGCCTCCTCGCCCCTCCACCCCCGGCGCCCCCGCAGGCGTCCGCCGCCTAGCCCTGCGCCGCAGCCAGAGCCCAGCCGTCCGCGGGGCGGCGCCCAGGCCTCTGCGGCGCGGCGCGGCGCAGCGCGAAAAGTTCATGAACTCTGAGTCGCCCGCTAGGAATGGGGCCTCGCCGCCCTGGAGCCCGCGTGGGGGTTGCTTTGGGGCGCGAGTGGCGGAACCCTGGCGCTAGCCTTGGCTTTCTGGCCTTCCCAGCGGGTTGCGGCGAAGGCGGGGGCGGAGAGGGAGTGCGGGGCTCCGCGGGAGGGCTGGCGGGGTTGGTGTTGCGCCCGGGCCGAGGGTCGCGCGCGCTCTCCCGGCGCGCCTGGGGGAAGCCGGCCCAAGACGGCCTTTCCGCGCCGGCTCCTCCTCCATTAGCCGTCCCCTGTAGTCTCCGAGGAGAGGTCGGCTGCTTTCTTCAGCGCTGCCTGGACAAAGGCGTCTTAAAGAAATAGGCGAAAGAGAACTCGGGAGCTTTGGCGCCCGCGCCCGGCCGGGGCTGCTGCGAGCGCCGGGCTGTCCGCGCGGCCTCCCTGGGCGAGGACCGGGCTCCTTTTGCCCCCATCCTCCCCAAGGCATTTTGATTTTAAAACCCCGTCTCAGCCTTCTTCCTCCCTGCGCAAACACCCCGGGCCCCTGGCGGGGCTCCATTCTTTGGCTGTGGACTGCCCGACCGAGATTCGGAGGAGCGCGGGGAACGTGCCCCGCGGAGCCGGAGGGCTTGGGGGAGACCGGAGCGCAGGGGTGGCCGGCTTCCTTTGTTCCCTTCTGAGCCGAGGCACCGGAGAGTTGGCTTCCCCGTTTCCGTCTGGGTGGAAAACCACTGGGCCTGGATCAATTCCGCGGAAGGAGCTCTCCGGGGAGCGAGCCTGAGGGAAGGAGAGGGACGGGGGGAGCCTGGCGGGCGCTGGGCGTGGGGAGGACGCGAGCCCTCGGAAGGCGGAAGCGGGAGGGAGGTGATGTCCCCGGGCTAAGCGGGGTCTGGGTCGGCGCGTGGGCCGCTCGCTGCTCCAGAGGGGCAGCGACGTGTCCCCTGCGGGCAGGGGTGGTTGCAGTGCCTATGGGTGGGACGTTTGAAAGCTGTCCTCGAGGGACTCGGGAACAGACGGGGCTGGCACCTCTCCAGTTAGCTTTGGTTGCGCTCGCCCCCCAGCCAGGCCCGAGGGCCCACTCCAGGCTGAAATCGGAGAGACTTGCCTGAGCTCCCTGTGTCCTCCGGTCCCCGCTCTGGGCACCACTTCCCAAGACCTGTCCTGTGTCTCCGGAACCTCAGCCTCTGCTCAGAGGCAGGGAAACTCCACGTTTGTTTCTCGTGATGAAAACAGGCAGTTGACTTGATTCACCCCAGACATTTGTACACTGGGCCCCCCAATTGCCCCTATCATCTCTCTGTCACCAGTGACCATTTGTTGGAAGACTTTCAAACTTCGTTACCTCGAAATATGGTGCGGGTTGATGGTATTTAAACATAACAGCTTGAACAAAATTAAAAACATACTTTTTTGTTTCGAACAAACCCTGCTCATCTGGCTTTCAAAAACCTAGAAGGGAGAGAGAAATGAGGATATAGCTCCCAGGGACAGGCCCTGGCTGTAGTTGCCCGTTTCTCGGGTCTCCCCTGCCTTCTTGCCTCCCCCAGGGCCTTTGGGGATGGGTGGGAGGGCAGAGCTCCTCCATTTGGGTTGGTGACAGATTGCACAATGGCCCTTTCCTTCCAGTCTCCCTCCCTTCACCTCACACTTTTTTAAACCTTTTTTTTTTTTTTTAACCATATGGTGTTGTCCTCTTTCTTAGGGAGAACACCGAAAACAATAACTCCTCCTCCAACAAGCAGAATCAACTCTCTCCGCTGGAAGGGGGCAAGCCGCTCATGTCCAGCTCAGAAGAGGAATTCTCACCTCCCCAAAGTCCAGACCAGAACTCGGTCCTTCTGCTGCAGGGCAATATGGGCCACGCCAGGAGCTCAAACTATTCTCTCCCCGGCCTAACGGCCTCGCAGCCCAGCCACGGCCTGCAGGCCCATCAGCACCAGCTTCAGGACTCTCTGCTGGGCCCTCTCACCTCCAGTCTGGTGGACTTGGGCTCCTAAGTGGGGAAAGCATGAAGCCCCAAGGGGTGTCTGAAGCAGCAACCAATCGCAGCGACTAGGGACACTTGTACATAGAAATCAGGAACATTTTTGCAGCTTGTTTCTGGGGTTCTTGGTTCTTTGCGCAAAAAGGAATGGTGGACTTTCACAGAAACCTTTTTAAAAATCAAAACCAACAGTGGTACCAAGCATAGTCTCCTTCTTCTCTTCCACTCTTCATTTTCACATTTCCTCTTCTGGTCTCAAATCAGGAAAAACAAAAAAAACCTCCAAAGAAACAGAAGCACCCAGTTTTGGTTCTGGCCAATCCATGTACCCACTTTTATAGTTAGTTCTTTATTTTCTTTGTTCTTTCAAACAAGAATTGCAAATCAACCGAATGTTAATTATTTCCCTTTAATTTATTTATGGAGAAATGATAGGGGAGAGAGGAGTGAAAACATGAGAGACAAAGATCAGAATGGTGGCGGGTAGAGCCTGTGGTCTCCGAGGAACTGGCCTGGTTGCTTTCTTAAGCTGAATAGGAAAATATAATCTTATAACTTTTCTTCATGGAAAAAAATTAAGTTTACATTTTTCATATTTAGTGTTAAGTGATTTTATGTAGATTAAAAGAACAGTATTAGGGGGAGAAGCAAGTGCCTAAATATTTGTTTTAATGCTCTCTCTATGTGAGGCAGTTAGAAATAGAAGTGACCATTAGTAACACAACTATTTTTGTCAAATTTGGTGGGGTTTTTTGGTTGTTGTTTGTTTTCTTGTTTTTTTTAAATGACAAACTAAAAATGTACCAATGTGCAAAAAAAAAAAAAAATCCCTAATGCCATTACTTCTCAGACCCTCAAAACTTTCCTATCTGTAGCTTGCTCCTGTTAAAAGGTTTCTTCTGTTCTTAGTTTCTAGCTTGCAAAAGTATGCCAACAAATCTGGCAACCTGGTATTTGTTATTAAAATAGCATGTGTTTTCAGGTTTCTTTTTCTATTGTACCTAAACCAGTCTAAATTAAAACTCAGTAGAACATCAGGAGTTTGATTCTGTTTCTCAAAGGTGAGTTGTGCATTGCTGTCACTGGGCCCTGGTTTTTTTTTTTCATGCTCTCTCACATAATAGTAGTCATGAGTTGCTGGGTACTCTGAAAGCCATCACCGGAACCAAGAGTCATGACAAGGTTACGTGACAGAAAGAGTAAATTTAGCTTTGGGGTATTTATTTATTTTTTTATTATTTACATAATGCAGTTTTGTTTATCGCTAGCTCTTCTCCACAGCATTCATGTGTTAACTTGGTTCTTTGTGTTAACAAGTTATAAGACTGTGAAAGCAAAAGTAATTTATCTGCTTAGAAAAAAAGGGGGGTTTAAATGTTATGAATTAATTTGTACAAATAGAAAGCAGACCCGAGGACAGGAGCTCTTTTGCAGTGCTGCCGAACTGAACAGTGTCCAGAAAGGTCCCAGTAATCATGTAGGCTCCATGTCATTTCTGCATGGGGCAATACGATGTATCATCTGTACCTAGCTTTTAAAATTAGTGAAACAAATGGCATTATTTATTAAAATTTTACTCAGGATAACAGGATTGGCTGGCTTGTGCTTTGTAAATATTGTTCCCCAGAGAGTCTATTTATTTTCTGACATGACAGTTTTGTAATTTTATTTTTCTCTATCCGTAAGTGTCATCATTAATACATTTGTTTCTTACCCTTTCCTATTGTTCCTGTCCTGATCTAGGAGACCGAAGGATGTGGAAGAAATTAAGGCCTTATTTATGATTCTTTTCTGTCAAATTGTTTTTAGTTCAAGGAGAAAATGGTCACTGTACGCTGGCTGTAGTCACTTTTACTTACAAAGTCATTTGCCCACCGTGATGGACAGATGCGCACACAGCCGGACTGAGCCCATCATTTGGACTAGGAGCTCAGGGTCCCAGTGTCCCTTGTTAGTGTTTTGGATCATTAAGTCGGTGTTTATTTAAGTCACTAGGGTGTTTATTCTCCACGTCTTGGGCCACGGAGAAATGCCACCCTCTGCGGGAGGGGCTCTCCCAGGGAATCTTCGCACATTCTTCACATTCACTCCCCAAAACAAACACCCTGCACAAAGATAGCTTTCAATGACCCTGACAGGCTTCAAAAGACGCCGCGGAAATCTCTCTGGAAAATAAGGAAGGGCCAATTACTTTAATTTCTTACATGCCCTCTCTTCCTACCCCATCACTACCCCCACACTTCCCGCAGCTTCGCAGCACTTTACGCTCGGGGAGGTTCCGTCTCTCGGGGCGCCGGCCCACTTCCTGCTCCCTGGCTTGGTGAATCTTGGAAATGTCTTCAGATCTGGCGAGGAGCAAAGAGGGCTGGTCCTGTAAAAGCACCCGTGATTACGGCTTGTAAACTCGTTAAAAGGACAATTTTCTGTCACAACCATAAACTGCTTTGTAAAACCCTGGCACTCGATCCAGAACGCGCATATTCCAGATGTGTTTAATAAGAAATTGCACAATATGCCTCTTTCCGCCTTCCTCCGCTGAGTCTGGCTAGAGGAAGGACAAGCAGGAGGAGGCGAGAAAGCTGGATATTGCTCTGCGTTTTCTTGGCAATCATTTTAGAACGATCATTAGAGAGAACTAACCATATTTTTTTCCCCTCGAGGAAATCTTTGAGCACCAGCTGTTAAGGGACCTTCAATTTACCTTCGCGTCAAAGTTTAACTGAATCAAGAGGCACTTTTCGTTTCTCCTCTACAATTTCATAACGATAGCCAAAAGCAATGAGCAACGGCTTATAAATAGTGTTTTTAGGATGAAACCTTACAGCACTTTGCCAAGTGAAATGAAAAACAAAATTTTGGGGCTTTTTTTTTTTTTTTTTAACCTCTTACATCTCAACACAGGATTACTCGGGCTCCGGCTGCTTTCTCGCTTTGACCTCTTGGCTGACCACAAAGCTTTCAAAATTTTCGGAGGCCAAGGAGTTTGGCCTCCAGCTCCTGGGGTTTTGGTTTAACAGGTAGGGTCTTGAGGCAGGAAGAAGGGCACCACTGGTCTTGAACCTATTTGCCAGACCTGAAGCTGGCGTGGAAGCTGCAAGGACGAGGCCGTGGGATGGCGCTTCGGGGCAAGCGCTGGATTCATTGAGCGTCGTCGCCCCAGCTGTGCGGTTCTGCCCGATGCCCAGAGCCCCAGAACGCAGCACCTGCCCCAACCCGCGCGGCTTGGCCTGGACCGGCTCCTGCTGTGGCTGGAAGGACCTCATTTGCCACCGCCTCCCTTCACCTGGAGGCCTCTGGCGAAGCCAGCAGGCAAACTCCGGGTTGGGGATCTAGAGGGTCTCGTCGCGCTCCTTCGGTTGCAAAAAAAGTGGGGGCTTCTCCTGTCACCGCACTCCCGGTGGGACGTTCTCACCATCCTGCTCCCGGAAGCGCAGGCGTCGGCGCCACTGTTCTGTGCTGCCCGCCAGCCGGTACAGAACCTGCCCAGGCTTCACCATGCTGAGACTCGCACGTCGCAGCTACGGGATCTTTGCGCTGCGCCAGGCTCCCGGTGCAGTGGCCTGGCCCACGAGGTCCCAGGGCAGAGGCTGCCACGCTGGCCCCAGGTCCAGAGAGGGAAGGGTCACAGCCCGAGCTTCTCGGGCGTCGCGGTCGTCCCAGGCCCAAGTCTCGGGGTCGCTGACTCCCCCGTGAGACGCAGAACCCGCAAGCAGTGGGGCTGCAGCCTGCGGGGTGGTGGTGGGGCAGGCGCAGGAGCAAACGGCCCTGGGGGCCAGGACTGCATGCAGTCCAGGCTCTGGAGCCCGGTGGGCAGGAGGCCTAGGCCCTGCCGCCTGCAGCACTGCCAGCTTTCCTCTTCGCTTCCTAGGTTTTTGCTTGGGCCTTTGGGACTCAAAACTGTCTGTCGGAGAGTCTGCCTAGGGTACCAGCCAGCCAGGGGACCCCTTTCCGAGCTGGTCGCGAGAACTTCCCGGCCTGGAAGTAAGGTCCTGGCTTCTAAACTCTCTTGGAGGACACAGCTCAAGCTCGCTTCCTTGGCGGGGCCAGGTCGGGTCTCCCATTCATGGTGTCTCTGGGGAGCAATCTGTATGTCCCGTTGGGGACAAGGGGAAGGCAGCGGTGGCGTCCCACAAGCTTCAGGTGGTGGGTGACTCAGTTGCAACACAAAGAGTTCAAGTGGTGGGTGGTGTGGACAAGGACGGATGGGGCAGGGTTAAGTTGAGGGAGGTCGCCGGTGCCCACCAGCTGTCTCCGAGGAATTTCTGGTTTTCTGAGCTTTCCCAGGGAGAGGCCTCTGGAAGCTCTCCCAGTGTAACCCTTCCAGCAGTGCAGAGCCACGCGGAGTCTGCGCCCTGCTCACCCTGCGGTGCAGCCTGCAACTAGGGTGTGCCGGGTTTTGTCCCGCTGGGTGGACTCTGCGGCCTTAGTAGACTGACTTCTGAGTCCGTCCAGGTCAGAGAGATTCTTTATCCCAGACTGACTGAGTTCAACGTGTCCACCTGGGAGAGTGCCTGGAGCGGACCGAGTTAGATGGGAGATGGATGAGCCGGCCAGGAACAAAAAGAATGAAAATTGTGGGCGAAACATTGGCTTTTCATGTACTTGGAAAAAGTGCTGCCCTGGAAAGGGCACATTTTCGCTGGTGTTTTAAAGCCAGCACACACAAAATCTCGTTCCAGCTGATGAAATTGGAAACCTGTTCTCCCACTGAGGATGACAATCAAGGCTTTAGACGCTGTGGTCCTTTCAGACAGCGAGAATCAACACTGCAGTAGCATTTAAAAACAAAGAAAAAGAGACTGCTGGAAGCGCGTGGATGCTGGTCTCTTCTCCAATCCCAGCTCTGATTTTTTCTTTTTAACTTGTTAATGGACCCAGAGACCTCAATTCTTAGCAGGTAGTATACAGCCACCAACAGGACTGCTCCCTCTTACCACTCTGGTATTGGATATCCCTCTTTCCTTTACTAGAATGTTAAAACATTCTTGAAATCACATTTTCTGTGACAGAAGAGAATACAAAAAAGGAAAAAAAAACCTTAAAAAGACTCCCAAACAATCTAATCTTTGAAAGAACACCTTACCTACCACCTACCCAACTATAATTAAAATGTTATTAGGTGCATCTAATACTTTTCCTCCTTCACCATCATTAATGATTGCCATTAAAAAGAAAAACAGACAGATTCTGGTACTTCACAAGGCATGGAAATGTGTACCTTCTCTCTCTCCTGGTCCTTCTAGCCTTCTTAAGGTAAAAGACAAATGTTT